AAATCTATTAAAAATTGTAATTGTTAAGTGAATTGCAACGTTCTTATTACTAGAAATTCATTATAATTTAAATAATAAACTTCTTTTTTATATCTACTATTTGATTTATATTGAAAACTGTATATGAATTTTTTTTAATTGTTCCTACTTCAATTAATTTTTATTATTCTAATAATTTCATAACCATTACTTAATATTAATTATTGTTATATTTCTTGCATAGAAATTAAACAATTTTTAACATTGAATATCTATAAATTATAATAGTAATTTTCATATACACAAGGTAGATAACTAGAAAATACATGTATCATAAGTGGACTTTAATTTATAAACTTATAAATAAAGAATAATTATTATATTACAGTATTTATAAATTTGCTTAAATCTATCATTTTTGTTATTTAAAATAAATTCTCGATATTAAAAAATTTATTAAATATATAGAAGTAACATTTTGTAAATATTATAATGATAATTTTGGGGTTTTACATTTTTAAGCATCAATTCAAATATGATTCAATTGTTGATTGAATTGAATTCAAATTGATCACAATGAAATAATAATTCGTAACTCGAAAATATGCTAAAATGTAGTGAACCGCAATTCATTCGATTCTACATATTTCTGAAATTAATGCTGACAGTAATTATTACGTGCCATTTATGCCTTATCATAGCTTTTCATTTGATACACTATTCAGCTTTAATGAATTATTTATAGTCAGAATCGAAGAGTTTCTGAGATACTAATAAAATATTTTACTAATAAAAATATGAGATACTAATAAACTAATAAAATAAACACTGATTCAACAAATATTCAAAGCGCTACATACAGTGCCTAAAATCCTTTATCATTAATCATAAAAGTTTCCAAAATAATTTCTTTAATCGACAAATGCCCATCGTAAGAATTAATAATTGCGCAATATTGAGCATTTTCACGAATAGAATTGCTAAGCATGATAATAGTACAATGTGACTGCCTGAATCATGCTGCAATGAGCTTCTCAAATACGATCATCTCGGTAAAGAAATTCGTACGCGTGCTATTCGATTCACATGGCGACAACTTAACGAGGAAATTAATTGTCCATGTAGACAAGTTGAGTGCGCATCGCTCCGCGAGCATCAGTTCTTTATTTAGGTCGCGCCTTGTTTCGCAATATTTACGTGTGCAATAGCTCTGTAGAAAAGGATTTTATTAGCCGGCCAGATGCGCGAGAAGTGAAATATAAACATCGAAGGATTGAATTGAAAAGAAACACCGAGAACGCATGTGTCCCGTCTTATCTTTCTCTAAACTTTGTTCAACACAATGTATATTAATATAAAACTTAGATTAAAGAATGATCGCCTCTTGGTCAAAGTGAAAACATTAAATTAAAATTTAAAAGATCATGTTTTATTATGTAGATACGTATAATATTCATTTTCACACTGCATTGCAGAGTACGTAGAGTAAATGTGTACAAGAATGCGTAGAAAAAATGTTTAATCATACGATTATATTATATGTATACAGCATGTGTATATATATATATATATATATATATATATATGTATATTTAAGTGCACATGGACACGCGCACATTCACATGTGTGCATATGTATTTAGGGTTACAAAGATAAAAGTTAGAGATTGATATTTGATTATCGAGTATTTGTTTAAATTGATAGCAATTACGAGTGCCAAATTTAAAATTTTGAAATTTAAGATTGAAACAAGTTTCCTTGTTATTGATGTGTGGCGTGCATTATTCATAAATTATTATTAGAGATAAACCAAAAATAAACGAATAAAGCACATGGAAATTTATTTTTACTATTTGTATACAGATATTGTAACAATTTTATACATTGCATATATGAAGAGTATAAGATGACATTTAAAAATACAATCTTATCATATGATCTTATAATCATTATCTTATAATCAAGTTGTTGGGCTAGCTATTGAAAAATAAAAATGACTTAATATGAATAACCGATAATTATGTAGGACTGCAGAAACTTAATTTAAGATTGTACTAATTAATTAGTCATTTCCTATAAGTACAAATTTATTTAAATATAACAGCTGCCCAGAGTCACTTAGTACATAGTTGGTAAATTTTAAATGAGCTTATAGCTAGTATCGCTGGCGATTCACTCGAACGACTTACTAACGGAAATCAAAGGATGTTATTGAATGTCGCGAATATCGTAAATATTGAAAAAATTACGATGCGCGGTATTTTTGAAAAACTAGGCATTCTATTGAAATGGCGCTTGAATTGTCCGTCTCTTAACTGAGCGACATAAGTTGTGTCGTTTTTCAATCAGTCCTATTACCGACCGAATGACAATCGGACGAATCACCAGTCCCGAGTGCAATAATCCTGACGGCTCGCGTGCATCCGGGGAATGTCGGTGACTAGAGGGCCTCCGCATCCTTTGTGAGTTTCATGTACAATGCGGAGGATTCCGTCGCCGAGTAAGTGCAAGGAAGGGAGGGGAAGGGTGAGGTAGCAAGAATCGAAAGAGAAAGGTGCAGAATCTTGGAAGGGCGGACGGAAGAGGGAATGCCACCTCAGCACTCCATACTTTACGTGTAGCTATAGCGGGGGTGGACGCTAAATCGCTAGTGTTGCATCATATTTTCCGATTATTTTAAATTTCCGTGTTTTGGAATACGACGCAAAAATTTGCTGTGCACATTTTATATTTCCGAATTTTTTATTTGTTGACAATAGTTACAAACACGCTTCTGTTTCGCTTCTTAATAACGTAGGCTGCGATAACAGACTGTGCAAAATATTAGCAATTTGCTTGTTCTTTAAAGCCATTCAAATATTCTATTTAACCAACCGAATGCAATCTTTTTCCTTATTCGTACTTGGCTTGGTACTATAACATTTTATTACACATGGACTCATTTTTTGACTTCCAATTTGAAATTTCAATTTATTCAATTCATCTATAAATAATCTGCGTAAGATAATACTGTTTAGATATATCTATTACGCGATCTGAAAAGTTTACGTAACTCGATTATTCAAATTCTGTACTTACACATAAATTATTAAATCGATTTAAGATTACGTATCAAACGTTCATACTGTTGTTTTTTAAACGTTTTATAGTCTAAATACCGTTCATTCGCATAACGTCGTAATTACCGCAATGTCTGCAAACTTGTACTGACAAAAGAGCCGCTTTGAATGAGTATTTCGATAAGTATTCAAACATAAGATACGCCATCTCGTCTCGTTTGTCCAGAATCAGCTTTTAACGATTGTTTTCTACTCTGCTGAGAAAGTGCACACCTTGCTTCGAAATATTAAATTCAAGTTTCCTATCAGTATTTAAAAAGAAAACAAAAGGAAAACAAAAACAAAAAACAAAAAATTCCATATTAGGATAAAAATGAGATGAATGGCATTAAATTTCAAAGATGTTGAAGGCAAAGAAAAATTACATTTTTCAACGATTGAAAATATTTGTATTCAATATTTACGCTAATAGGTGTGTGTGTGTGTGTGTGTGTGTGTGTGTGTGTGTGTGCAAAGCACAGTTTGTAATTTATTTGTAATATATTCTTATGTATAAAAAGGCGTAATATGAACATATTTTGAAGAGTTTATGAGTCAACTTACCGGAATAATTAACGAGCGAGATCTAAATTTAGAACTTTGAAATATATTACATTGATTTTTCAATAATATATATATATATATATATATATATATATATATTGAATGTGTTGTTATAATAGATAACAAATAAATAATCAGAATACGATAAAATCGAATTCTGCAATTATATTTAAGAAAAATTGATCCTCGGTAAAATAAACGAGCGGAGATATAAATTATAAAGCTTTCGGTAATATGAGTAGTTTGAAATCGTGCGTGTAAAAATGTAAATAAAGAATGATAAAGTCGTAAAAATGTAAAATAACACGATGTGAAAAAAGTATTTTTCTTTAAAGTAAAGGTATGTCTTGTGAGTAAATGAGAAAATTATATATTATTAAAGTTGCTTTAAGACGATTGACCAGAAAAATCACTTATTTACGAAATTCCTCAATAGCCAGCGTGGCAATTAAGAGAAACGATGCGGTTACACGTGGTCGAAATTTGAATGTATCCTTTTGAAAAGATACCATTGAAAACACGAGATGCTCGCTGTCAGATTTGCGTCTTTCATCGTGAAACCCTTACAATGAATCGTAACTCGTATAACATGTTAATCAGAAGGGCCTCGAACATTTTGCCGATTCTTTTCTTACAATTGTGCGTATGGTTTAACATAAAGACTTTTAAAACTCTAAGTCCTAACCTTAGTAGACTATCATCATTGTGTAGGCGATAAAAGCGACTCTCTTAATAGGTCGACAATCGGCTTGAGTAAGCACGGCGTCAGGAAACCGGAGGAAGAAGCTTCCTCGGCCGCCAAATGCACGTCTTAGCATTTAATGAGCGCACCGTGAAATGTAAGCCGCTGGTGTCGCGGTGGGTGAGCGCGCGAGGAAATACAAGGAAAAGAAGGTAAAACGAGTTACGAAGGGAAATTGGGCGCCAAATGTAGCACACCAAGGGCTGCCGACGAGCAATAAAGAGGTCGAGTTGGTAATGGGGTCTCGGCGGCATAGGCTACATGTGGCTCGGTAATGAATCGGGGGAAAGAGAAGGGGGCAAGGCTCTAAGCCGACGATGATGATGATGATGACGACGACGACGACGACGACGACGACGACGACGACGACGACAGCGGCGACGACGATGGTGACGGTGACGGTGTCGGTGACGGCGACGACGAGCCGGCAAAGTGGGGCTGAGTGGGGCCCGAGAGCAGCGGCAGCGCCGAAGCTTCGAGGCCAGCGGCGGCAGTCGCTCTTCGGGCCCCGTTCCGCGCGCCACGCGCCCCGATCGCTCCTAGTCGCACGCCTCCTAACCGCTGCTCTCACTCTCTCCTCCTTGTTCTCTCCCCTCGGTCATCACGCCGCCTCTCGCCAATCCTCTTTTGTCTCGTATCACGAGCGTGAACATTGTTGGTGCGGTTGATAATTGGCAGTGGTGTGTGTGCACGCCGACCGTGGAGGAAGAGGAGGAGACGACGGGAAAGCCACGCACGAAGAGAATCGCCGCCACCGAAGCATCGGGAGCAGCAACAGGTACGCCCCCATCCTGCCCGAGACTCGAGCGACCGTCACCACCGTCACGAAGGAGAGCGCGAGGGGCTCGCTCCTCGATTTTCCTTCTTTATTCTAGTTGGCGCGTCGTTAGGGACAATCAGTCGCCCTTGAAGGTTAGTTTTGGTTAGATCCTCGTGCCAGTTTGTTCGCTCGCGTCCCTTTGTGCGGCCGAGTGATTGCGGAAAGTGATGCAACCTAAGGCTGGAGACGGTATGCCAGGAGGTACGGATAGTCACCAGTGCCGCCACAGGTTTTCTCGGGGAAAAATGCTCACTGCTGGGAATTAGTTTGGCAACGAGGCTTGCATGTAACGTTTCGGACCTCCTCAGCGGGGGTCCTTCTTCCCTCCCGTTTTCCAAGTCCACCGATCATCTTCGCACTCGTTTTTTTCACAGCGGCAGCAAATATCCGAGTGAAGAAATTTGTTGTTTGTATACTTCCTTTTTTGTTTTTTCCTCTATTTGGACGCCACCGTGGCCTGGCTACAGCGGCCTCCTCGCCCTCTTCTCTTTTCTTTAAGTCAATCGGCCTGCGCATGGGAGCGAGAGAGCGAGAGAGAGAGAGAGAGAGAGAGAGAGAGAGAGAGATAGATAGATTGACGGAATTTCGAGGCGACGAGCAGATGCGCGCCAGGTTGTACACGGGCCGACTGTGAATATGGGGTTCGTTGGAATTTTGTAAAGGGGCAGTCGTGAAAAGCGATCGGCTTTTCGCTCAGACATCTTTTCTTACTTTTAAACCTCTTCGTACAATTCTTACTTTTATTTCCCGTTATGTATTTTTCAGAATTCATTATTTTTTGTTTTTTTTGTGTTCGTTAATCAGTTTTCGTCATTTAACGATTAAAATTTTAAATGCATCCAAAAATGTTCGATTCACTCTAGCGAAGGGCAGATGGGACGTATAAAAGAAAAATTTGGAAAAAGACTTTAACGCGTGTGAAATTCACGATACCGATCGCAATGAACTCACGTTGCTTTTCTATCAAAACATCACTCGACTCTACAAAACGTTGACACGAATGAACGTCTCCATTTTCAGCAACTAACAAACTTAAACTTTCACTGTAATCCGCAAAAACTAGGCAATGCGCAAGAATCCAAGAAATGCATTCTCATCGAGCGATCTAGAACATGGGGTGTCTCGTTTCTTGAAAATAAAAATCACTCCTCGCTCGAGGTTGGAAAAAGTAGGGACGGAGATGCGTGGACAACTACAGGAAAACAAATTGCCATTGGGCCGATGCTTAAATGCAATTGAGGAATAAGGACGGACAATGCGGTACGTAATTTTAACACTCGTCGCGTAAAGACAATGAAAGTCTGTAAACAGGACGCGTATCGTTACGCTGGCACTCGAGGCGCGAAGGGGAGAGAGAGAGAGAGAGAGAGAGAGATAGATAGACAGCGAGCGAGCTTCTGAATGACAAACGAATCGTCTCGTCTCTCACCTGTTACAACGTAACCTGTGATGATAACCGAAACTTCATCGCCCGAAAATTCAAATTTCGCCTGCGCGTCAAATTCTCACGATACTAAGAAACGCGACATGATTAACATAGGCTTACTTCAATTATTTTCCAATGCAGAATTGTTTTGAGAAATTCGGCCAAGTTTAGTCGCCAACTTGTAAACAAACGTTGAAATTTGAATAGCTTCCATGAAATAAATTTAGATTTGTTTTTGACAACTTTTATACGTTCATCTTTAAGAATATTTTAATGACATTAACCGTAAAAGGCAATAATTATCTTTATACAGAGTTTAATTATTACAAATATTTTTCTTAAATCGACGTTAACAATGAAATAATTGTATGGCTGTAAATATTCTCATACAGTATGAATTGTACATTTATTTGTAAAATTAGCGCTTTTTTTTTTGGCGAAATATTTATTTTTTGGATTATACCTTAATTTTACAAATTAATTTTTTTTTATTTAAATTTAAACACAAATATAATGGCTTTATCGTTTAATTTAGGTTAACGTTCTAACAATTTAATCGCCAAGGGTGGAAGAGTCAGTCTTTGTTTTAACTGTATCCATTATTATTTTAATATTATTTATAAGCAAGGAAAATAAATTTCTAATGGTTATAAATATAACAATAGGTTTAATATATAATAATAACTAGGCCGTTTTACCAAAAAATTGAATTACCCATGAAAGTTTCGATCGTCATTTATGTTGTCGGGCCAACAAGTCTTTTGTTACGATATTTAACGAAGCTCGAATTTGTACATTAATTGAAAATTAACCCAACGGCAAAGACTAATTAAATTTTATCATTAAATACGTGATAATAGCGACCACTCGCGTTCCCATGGAAATATTGCCATTGTTAATTATGGATCGGGAATAGTTCGTAAAAATTATATCCATGCAATTAAAGTGAATTAGAATCTAAAGTGCCAAAGCCTCTATTTCGAAAATGAAACTCGTCGGGCTACATAATCCTTAAATAATCGCAGGCAAAGGGAAAGGCAAAGGAAGGGCACGAAGCAGCACGGTGTCAGTTAAACGAAAGCAATACCGCCGTCGCCTTGGCAGACAAGAGCAAAAAGTACAAACAACACTTAGGCGAATGAGTCGCCGCCGCCACCGCCGCCATAACGTGTGGGCTATTCAGACGGTCGAAACGTCGAGTGCATATAACGGCGGCTGCGCATCGGCCATTTCGAATTTACCACGCGCTTTCGACCGGCAGCCGTAAAAAACAGCCAAACAGCAGCAGCGGCAGGGATCGTCGATCCAGCTAATAATTTCCGCGCGTTCTCGTTTTCTCACGGCGAGGCGCATATCGACGCTACGAGCCGGTGGGAGAGGGAATCCGTACGGGCAGAGAGACGCGAGAGATGGTGGAGAAGGAGGAGAAGGAGGATCCGTTTTTTCCTCGGGCCCCTCTGACTTAAGAGATCAACGATCGCGTATTGGTTGGAGTAATGCCGGTCACACGTGCCCTACGACTACCGTGCACTACTGCTCTTTTGCTCCCAATATCCTTTGTGTTTCTTAAGCATCGATACTTAGGACGACCGTTAGCTAAGGCTTAGACCAAGTGCTACATTACTTACTCGCGCAAGACTGAATTTCACCCAATTTAATTTTTGCACTACGAAAGATGCTTTTCTTCACATTTCGATGGTTAGAAATTAATTTCTAGGTAATTTCTAGTAAATAAATAAGTTAAATATAATTTTCAATTTTTTATACAATCCAAATAATAAAAGAATCAAGAACCTTACTTCGTCTTCTGCTTTACATATACAGTATAACATAGAAATATGTTCAATGATGATTTATAAAAATTAGAGTAAATTAATAAAGTAGATAATAAAATAAAAAAATTAAGTTAATAAATAAAAAGTAAAAAAAATAAGAGTAAATCACAAAAGTATCGTTTTGTGATAAAAAATAAATTTAACAACGGCAAGAAAATAAATGTTCGTTAAAAAGGTCGTTGAAACGTTCGATAACCGAGTTTTTTTAATAATTCAATTAACATTATGACGGATTATAGATTCAGCATCCGTGGCTTAATGCCTTGGTTTTCTTAATCACATTAAAGCCAAATAAAGATAGAAAATAATAACATTCGAGAAGTTGGTTGAGCGTTGCCTTCCGATGAAACGTAAATTTATCGAAGCACGGTTGATCGAGGAAACATTCCAACGGCTTTAAAGACTCAATTGCCCTGCCTGATTTCATAATCGAATATGCACTTTTCGACATGGGGCATTCGCTTGACAATTCATCGACCGATACGAAAGCGGCACTTGCCCATACCGAACAAAGAAAAATATGCCAAGCCATATCCAAAATATGGGAGGCGCACGCGTCAACAAAAATGTGAATGAACGCATAACGCGAAGCAGGGCGAAGGCCGCGAGTATGAGTGGGTAACTCGGGTATCACGTGCGCATCCGTTGCGATTAAATAATCGCGGCATTGTACAGGAAACGCGATCGCTGCCAGTCATTTTTCTTTTTTTTTTAAGGGCGCCATCATTTTTCCTCTGTTATCAATCGGCTAACTCGATCGAGAGGAGACGGTACTGCTATTTCTAGAAGTGCCTGTGATAGATTTTGCCATTGTCGTTGCTGCCCGCACTTTAAGCCTCTATGCGTCTAGAATAAAAATAAACGATGACAATACAAGTCATAACAGGAGTTTGTGATTTTTCGTTGCTCATGCCTGCTGTAAGGAAAATGAGATGTTATTGTAAGAAAACACGGCTCGTGACATTCCTGTTTAAAAAGAGTGCGCTTTGTCGTTGACAATATAATATATCGAATAGTTAGATAAATTTAACCTATTACATTACATAGCGAGTACATTTTTATCATCGTCAAGAAAATTGCATATGAAAATTTTATTGCATGTCACAAGAATCTTTTTAATGTCGTTTCTCAATTTATTACGAATTCCATTATTGTAATTATAAAACGTTAATTATCGTGCATTTGAAAGACAAATAATTTTACTTTAAGACTATCGAGTTTTACAACTTTATCCCTTTGAACAATACATTTCAACTTTTTAAAATTTGATGATCTTCATTTCTCAGCGTCGGATTTAATGGCAAATGTAAAACTAAGTTATGAAGATAAAACATTTATGTTCAATTTCATAATCTAGAGAGTTTATAAAACGAAAACGTTATTTTTTTGCACAGCCTTATGTTCTACAATCGTATCGTTAAGCTCGTCGGCTGATTAAAGAGAAATATTAGTCGAATGAATGTTATATTTTCTTTTTCATAAAGCATACGTATTTCATTTGGAATTTTAGATTTTTAATCAACATAGCTACGGGGAAATATTTTTTTTTTTTTTTTTTTTTTTTTTTTAAATATATCAGCATTTTGAAAATGCAAACTGGTTTTTTGAGTGAAAGGAACTCTGACGGTATATATGATTATAGCTATTCAAATGCTGCTGTGCTCGGAGAAGGTGGAAGAGAACAAGTTTTCGTAAGA